TCTGTGAAATTTAAGCACCATCATCTCTTCCAAGAACCCGAAGCTTAAAAAGAGAGTATTTATCAAACTGGAAGAGCACCTTACAAGCTGAAATTTTATAAGAGAGTATTTCTCATGGATTTTCTTCTATAGTCTGTTTCCAATATGGGTAGTTTGTTTGTCATATGCACCTCTGTAGATACTATGAACCATCTCTTCTGTATAATGACGAACAATACCATATTGCAATTTCAATCTATTCTTCTATATTATATCAGAGCAGCACCTTCTTTTTAGTTCTTAGTAATTTTCCACTCCTTGTTTCGCACCAACCTTTGTCGAAATCTATAATTTAAAAGAAGAAAAGATTTCACTATCAACTTTTGCTTCCAGAACCCTTCCTGTTCATGATTGATAGGCGATTTACATTTGGTTCCTTTATATTGTCCTAGGCAATTGATTCTCTTCCTTTCCTGAAAAAATTTGCTCATCATTATTTTGTGTTTCTTCAGCTCCCTAGTTTCTTCAATGTTGGTCCACTCTAGGATAGTCTGTCACTCTGTCGGGAGAAAAGATATACTAATAGGTTATTAGAACAAGTATAAAAAAATATCTAAGACGATTCTATTCATCAAACATATATGTTATTTTTAATATTATAAAATAGCATTCTACTCTAATGAGTATATAGATTTCTAGTTTCATAAGACTAAAGTTGTATAGTCTAATGGTACAAAGTTTACAATATTAGTGATATATTCAAATTAAATATAGATTAAATTTTATCCCTTCAAATACTCCTTTTCATCTTTTTTTCAGCATCACTCTGTACCTCCTAAACAATTACAACTTTCTCTAATCAACTTTGATCCATTAGCCACTAAACAATTCGTTCTAGACATAATTCACAGAAAAATTGATTGCAAAGCAACTCAAATCAGCCCAGCTGCTCAAGGCAAAACTTAGTATATACACAGGCATATGGCATGGAATTCAGGTATCCTGATATCATAATTATGCTAGTATAATACTTTAAGAGAATGGGACCACAATAAAAATCATACTGGGATAATTAAAAAATGATCTAACTAGAAGCCTTACCATTTTCATATTCCATGGCCTGCAGTATCATCTCTACCTGGATGGAACAAGTTTATACATCAATCACATAGCTGTGTAAAACCTTTCAAATGTATGGTCTTGGATTTTGATATATAAAATTATTGCTAAGTGGTCTTTAAAACAAAAGGCATCCTGCCAGTTGCTACATGTGCTGTCTTCTGCATATCAAGTGAGATGGCAATTTCTTTGCATGGAAAACCCCAAAATACCCACCCCACATCCAAAGAAACGGGGAAAATAGTAAGGGAAATACAACTCAACCACAATATGGAGTAGAAACTACCGAAAATGCCCATTGTATTACACAGATAAGTAAAATATTCTAGGTCATTTTTGTGGGTAAGGGGTATCACAAGAAATGCATTCCTCATCAAAGAATTCCGACAGACAATACCAGGAAGAGGATTACATAACATCTTCCATTGAATAAGCTTTAAATCATCAACAAAGAGAGAGAAATTATCAAACAAGCAAAATATGATACCTTGTTAAAGTCCTTGACAAATGTAGCTTCCGGGGAGGAGTTAGAATTCCTAATCGTAGTATTTTAGTTACTCCTGTATTAGGAGATAGCTAGTTTTCTTCCTATGTTTTAGGAGCAATATTCCTTATAAGCATCTATCTTAATAATTGAAGTATCTTGCAATTATTCTTCCTCCAACAATTATTCTAAAATTAGAGAGTTCACTAAGTAATTATGTGTTCTCTCTAGCAAGCCCAGTCATAGGCCATTACGACCGCAACTCTACTAAGAAAATTTCATGTTTGCTTGAATACTTCTCCGTCAATCATCAAGTGACCGATCGAAAGTGTTATGCATAACAAAGCCTTTGACAGAGAGATAAACGATCAAACAAGAAGACTATGATACCTTATCAAAGTCCTTGACAATTTTAGCTTCTGGGGAGGAATTGTTTTCATATTCTGTCCATAATTCAGCAATCTCCTTTGCTGCAATTTATAAATACGGATGATCAGCAATGCTATCAATTTATGGTTCAATTCAGGAAAAACAACATAAATTCAGTTTGCTAGTGTTAAAATGGAGAGTGGGGGCAAATGTATCATACCTCTTGGTCCTCCACCTAGTATATTGCACATGTAATTTAATGCTTCCTGCTCTCTGCGACTCTTTTCCTCCTTTGAGACACCATCTGATGGTGTTATATCTCCAACAATGGCTGGTCAAGCATTTAGAAAAATAAGAAAGCAATTCAAAACTCTTAATTTCCAAGAAATTGCAAAATAACAACATGAACAAAAATAGCACATGACCATCATCCCCTCAGATAAGAGTTTTCTTGACAAAACTAAACTTCAAAGCACCAAAATTGGAAAATTACAGACAAGTAATTGAGCAAATGTGGATCTGTTGAATCCAACTTGTGGCGCATGGCAAAAGAAGAAAAGAAAACTTAGTTTCTGGTTATAAGAACAGAGTACTGCACAACCCCCAGACCCAACTATTGCCACGTAATTAACAATGTTGTAGTCAGAGAATACAGACAAAATAATAATATCACTATTTTCATGAAAGCCCTTCGTACAAAAGAACTTAAGTGGAACTGGAACTCAT